CATCACGATGTTTTCCTTCACCGTAAGAACGTCGGATAAATGTACATATGTAAATCGGAAATCGAAAAACACATAGGTACATGGCGGGATTCGAACCCAGGACCTGCAGATTGCAAGTCAAGTGCTTGACCACTGAGCCACCGAAGTCTTTTTAATAATTGCATAATATTAGTATAGATAAATTTAGATTTCTATGTGTTACTATAATACATACATATTTTTTGTTATACGAGCGTAACAATTAATAAGAGTACATTTCAAAACCAACTGAAAAACTCCGAGTCTGTTAGGTCCATCCCTGCACACGTTGAGTTTTAAAGTATATTTTCTATTTGGCAATAATTTTTTTTAATAAGCACGTACATTTTTAATCTAAATTGACCTGATTACATTTGTAAGTAAGAATTTATAAAATCTATTCATCAATTTAATGATATGATTTAAATAAAATTTAAACTGCAGTGCGATGAAAAATTGTGCCGTCAAATATCGATGAACTAGAGACTAGTGGAGTGGCATATGTCAACGGTTGTTTTTGCCACCATTATGGTGGTATCATTTTTCTTGTCATATAGATCATTAAGAGAATATGGTAAAATAATTCGGTGGTTCAGTTTGGAGCGCAGCGTGAAGGAAACCGAATTATTTAAGTAGCGTTGATTGATGGTAACGTTTCATGACAGGTTGTTGATGTCTCTAAAAATAAAATTATACTTTATTGATTTCTAGTCCTTTTTCTGTCCAGTCTAACCAGGAATACAAAATGACAAAAGACGTCGCCAAATTGTAAAAAAAACGTAAGTTTCATCGTCTAGAAGAAAAGGAAGCGATTGTGGCGCCACCATGTCAGATTATTTTTAGTCTTTTAAAGATAATCTTAAGTATGTAGACAGCCTAAATTACAATTTGTGTCTATTGCTTGTAGGTCTGTGTAATATTGGTTTATTTCTGTGTATATAACTTAAAAAGTTTATGCAAAAAATCGTGTATAATTTACAAAAGTGTAACAATGTAAAATATATTTTTTCATCCAAACACAAAATTCACAAAATCGAAAATCGGATTCAATTTTGAATTTCGAACTTCTGCAACTGCAAAATCTATGGTTATATAAAATTATGATCATATTAGCTGTCGCCTACGACTCAATCCGCTCGGTAATAAAAAAAATCTAATTAGTAGTTCTACACCAGTCTTTCACAAAGTGTGCGATAACGCCCCCTTGTGGGCGCTGCAGGTCTCAAGTTGTGGGTTATAGTAAAAGTTTCGTTTAGAATTCTCCGTTACTATAAATATATAGGTCACAGTAATTAATTAACTTAATTTGAAGTTATAGTGGTATAAAAATATGTGAAAATATTGGGGGCGCTAAAAAAAATATTTATTCTCAAAGTGGGCACTAGACAAAATAAGTTTGGGAACGTGTTCTACACCTAAGCCAAATTTTAGTTGAATCCGTATTTCCGTTCTCGAAATACCTTCAAAGATACGCATTTATAAAATTAGTATTATTCATGCAAAGAGGTCTTTAAATACTCATTTAACAATTGCTATTTAGTTTAATTGAATCTAAATAATTATTGCAGACAAGGTAGGGAAAAATGAAAAAAACAACTTGCATACGTTTACAAAGTGAAGAATACCTTTGTATGCTAATGAATGTTAGATCAAAGGTATTCTAAAATTAAATTTAATTTAAAACAAAAATTGTATACAATACAAGAATTAACCTTTGACGTGCCTGTAATTCATCCAAATGAATTACATAATTTATTTTATAATAATATGACCTTCACCTTGTCTTAATTTCCGTTCCCAAATGACTTTTACAAAACTGTATCGCTATCTCAGTTTATCCAAAGAGTTTGAGAGGGATGGCAATAACATTGAATTCTAATTCTAACTTAATCACGTAAAATTTTTGATTCACCCTTACTTACGTTTTAATTCCTTACGAATTTATAAATATTGATGAAATGGCACCTTTAATTGTACAGTTGGTAGATTACAATATCGCTAATAAGATTATAAACTACCGAATTTACCAATCTGATGGTAACATGAATGTATGAGAACGTTCGGAGATAGAGTTAAAAAGATCGCGGACTCTTGATAGTCTCTGATCTGTTGACCTTACGGATCTGATCTGACTATGGGACAATTTCAATTAATTCTACTTTAGCTAGTGGAATTACTAAATAAAGCTATCATAGGAATTGGTTAAAGTTGAACTTTGACTATATAAGTACTTAGTTTACTTACTAAATATAGTCTTTTCGTTATGTTTATCTAGAGTTAACAGTGATTAACGCCAGCGAAACAAGAAGTGAATTGACAGAGGGGAAATATTCTCTGTCCGTGCGTTCCCTTCTCCGTCGATTAAAGATAGGCAACGCATCTGTAGTTACGAATATCTATTATCAGCGATCACTTCGCTATTTCGGCGAATCCAGGTGGCCACTGGCTCGTTTGCCACCAAATAATATAACTTGACCGGTGCAATACCATCACATACAAGACAGTCGTCAAGTGGAAATAATTCCGAGTTTCGTCTGATGAGTTTGTTTGCCGGAGACGACCTCTTCTCCCTACCCTATTTAAATACGGGGAGTGGGGAGAGTTGCAAGATGTATTTTGTGTGTTTTTAATGACTTTATAACATTTAAATGAAGCCTACATAACTCAGGGATAATGTGACATTTTAATGGAAAAGAATTTTTGAAATTAATTAGATTTTAAATTCATCTTACTAATATTATAAAAGCGAATGTTTAGATGTTATTTATTTGAAGGTATCTCCGGAACAACTTAGCGGATCTTGATGAAATTTGGCATACATGTAGAACACAGCCTGAAAGAAAACATAGGCTATTTTTTTTTTTATTTTTTGCGGATGGAGTGACGGGTGACTTTTATTGTAAACATACAAAAATATAAATCTTTCTTCTTTATAATAGTTTAGTTGAATAAATATCATTTGTTCTTTTGTAATGTATGTAGTCATTTCTGAATTTTAAATGGCTGCCTAGTGTTTCGGCGTAAGCAAATGTAATAGGTCTTTTAAATAGCGGGCGGCATCTTTGTCGTAACAAAATTGCAAATTAAGTCGTGATATGGCATTAAGATAAGTCACTGAGATACATTCGAATGATAAACGTGAAAGATGTTTCTCAACAAGTTGTGTTTTATACTTATACATATTTTACTAATGTAACTTGTTGACACATCGTTTCCGTTTATAATAGTTTATTATACATCCATATTTCTATATTTACATATAGTCTTAATCTATGATATAAAATAAAATATTAAAAAAAAACGAATAATTCACTAAAATATGTTATTAAAAGGAGTCCCTTTAGGCAAGGCATAGAGGTTTAGGCTCTAGGTTTCCGTTTTATTTAAATATTAAATATCGCCCGTGACTCCGTCCGCGCCGAAATAAAAAAACTCTAAGTTGCCTACGTGTTCTTCCAGACTATATTCTATATGTATGCCAAATTTCATTAAAATCCGTTGAATTGTTCCATTGATACCTTCAACCATTTATCTAAACTAATTTATAATATTAGTAAGATACATTTTTCTCGTATCTTAAAAAAGGGGGAAGCGATTTTTTTTTAATTTTAAAAGGGGCGAAATAGCAATGTGACTAAAGTCACAGATATATGGACATCGGAAGCCGTAAATGCGTTGCTGGCCTTTGAGGAAGATGCACGATTACTTCTAGAAGGAACCTTGGTTCAGACTTGTCTCAGGGGCTTAGAATTATCACTGACGAAAGATTGTACATGTTTATAATCAGATTTATCGTAACCATTTTTTATACTCAACTCTCAAGTTCTAACTTTGTATTTGTGCCACACTAACCGGTAAGTACCACGATACACGCGGCACCGCACCACTCGTGTGGTATCTATCTAACGAATGATTTTCCTTAACCGCTAGCATTTGATGTGAGATGTCAATTAAAGTATAAGGAAGTGGTTAAACAACCTGTTAATTGATCAACGGAAATAACCACGCAAATTACGGACTGATCACGGTTTGACCTAATGTTGGTGTTCAATTAGGGTTTTCAGATTCGTGAGCAAATCTGGTATCGAATAACATAAATAATGTTTACTTATGTGAATTTAAACAAGATTTGAGGAGAGAGGAGAAAGAGAGAGGAGAGAGAGAGAGAGGAGAGAGAGAGAGGAGGATATTTGATATTGAGGATTAAAAAAAACAAACAAAAGACAAGTGATAACAAATGCCTATTTTATTTTTATATTTAATTCTATGCAAATATTTTAATACATTTGGCACCCGCGATTCCGAATCCGCGATTAAAAAAAACTTTATTAGTAGCCTATTTGTTCTTCCAGAATATGTTCTATACCTGTGCTGTTCATAAAGATCCGTTAAGCCGTTCTGGAAATATCTTCTAACGTACATCCATCCATATATTCAAAATTACGCATTTATAATTAGTATAAGTATGAGTATAGAGTAGAATTTAAGTTAAATCTAAGTAGAATTTAAGTTATCCATAGTTATAAGCAGAAATTATGTATAATCAACATTTAATATGAATAGATTGTGTTTGAGAGTATTCAACTTAAATGCAGTATCGAGGAAAAAGAGAAGATTGAATATCAAAAAGTATATAAAATATTTCAATGTGACCTATTCAAATTACTTTGACATACTTAATAGTAACAACAGACAGGAAGTATCAAAAACAATGAAAATTGCTTTCCTTTTACCTTCAAATACCTTTTAATCAAATGTTAATCCAATAATTGCTATCATTGCAGTTACAATTTAATTTTGCCTCAATCCTCCACTAATTTGAATCCTTCTTACTACTTGGAGAAATCCTGCCTCTTGTTCTATTACGATATTCAAAGTTAAGTGGCGATTGACTAATTGCAGCATAGTAAGTAAATAGAAAAAGGCTTCGGTATAATGAAAATGAGGGGTTGGTTAAGTAACTACAAAAATTCCATACTCACTGTTTGGGGATCCAGCTCTGAACATTGGGTTCGGTGCCATCCAGGGGAACGCACCGAAGGGCCACGCCGGCGGCGCCGGGCCTTGGTAAAGTCGCGGCAACAGCGGCTGCGGGACAACAACCCCTGTCCTGCTTTCCATTTCCTCTCCATCATTATTACTCTCCCTTTCGTCTCTTTCATCGCCAGCATTGGATTCGACATCTTCGATATCGACGTCACTGTCGTCACTGTCCACCGCACTTTCAGCGTCTACGCTACTCGTGTCTACGGTTTCTTTAGGTGCTTCTGTTCTACTGCCCAGTAGAGAGTCAACACTAAAAGATATCCTTCCTTTTCCGCCGCTGTCCGCGGCTTCGGCCCGATCACATTCGAGCGAAGTCTTCATTTCATCTGCTCGATTGCATCGCACTATTACGCAGCAATCGCGATTAAAAAATTTATAACGTCATTTCTTTTTTATCTATATTTTGAGCTTATTTATGCATCGATAATTTGTTGGAATTTAAAATGGCTACTTTATTCTTAGTTTGTTTATGCAAATTTGTCTAAGTTATTGTCCATAGCGAAGTGTTCGGATGATTGTTTATGACACTTTTTATATCACACTAAATGTCACTTTTAGCACCATTAGTAACACTAGTTGTGTAACAAAATGTCAATATTAAAAGGATTGATTACAGTCTTTAATTTACACAAACAAATTAAAACAATTTTAATGATTAAAATTTCAAATATCGATTCGATTGTCCATTTGTAAATTTATTAGAAGCATGTTCATTGACATGTCTATTATAATTGCAACACTGCGATATCCGTACGCGGTTTCTTATTCACAATTTCAAATATCGAATGTCCGTTTTCAGTTTAAAATCCCGTCGAACAGTTTCCGGTACGTTTTGCGTCGCGAAAGCGTTCAAGTACGGTGTGTCCGCGTAACGATTCGCGCGGGCGCTCGCTGCAAATCGCGCTGGTATTGGGGCGAAGACCGCGCTCCGAGGACCGCCTCTCCCTCAGCGCTGCAGCCGAGGGGGCCGAGAGGGACGCAGCTACCGACCGAGGAATTTTAATAACCGGCGCGGCGAGAACGGGACGACGCTACCACCAGACATGTGTGTAAACGCGATATTGGGTAGGCGGGGTTCGTCGCGCTCAAATTAACTCTCTCACTTTAGTACGCCTTATAGAATACTTAACAATCAATTGATTTATAACCCTATAATATCTGTTTTTAAGGTCGATTTTGGTATGTTTTACAAGAATGGAAGTAACATAAGTGAATTAGAGATCTCGGATTGCAGTCAGCTATTGTGTTGAATGAAAAAGGAGTAAATAGTCGATTGCTGTAGGCGGCGTAGAGGGGACTTTACGATTTAATTATTCGCGAATACGGAGGCATTTTGTAGCGAGCTAATGTCTCATTGTCTCATTAATATCTCGGGCGGGCGCGGGCCGGCCATGTTTGATTTGTTTATGACACGAACGGGCGCGGGGCTGGCGCCGTAGGTGAGAGCGGAGCACGTTTGTCTCTGGTCCGTTTCTGGGCGCATTGTCGCTGTCAACGTGACAGTTTGGAAACGGAGATTCAATGCTGCCGGCGCGGCTGCGTCTCGCCGAGGAATTAATTCCGTTCAATACGGTGTCGGAGGATCTTTCGATACGTTTGCGGATAGTTTGTGGTATAATTTACAGATAGATATTTAGTCTGTTTAGGAATCTAACAATAGAAAATAGTTTTGAAGAGTTTGAGTTCACTTTTACTTGTAAAAAATTATGACACATGGAAACCAAGTCAATCTCGGCAATAGGTATTTTGAGGTCCTTATTCTTAGTTCCGGTACATCTTTGATGTCCACGTATGCAGCAAGCTATCCGTTTTAATAGTAAATTCTACTTGGTCTTAAATGAAATTGGGTAAGCAGAAAAATTATAACATGCGAATCCTGCCTATATATGTGCTGTGTGCACAGAATACTTGTCCCGTCTACATTCAGATATGCTCATCATCAAAGTTGACAAGTTTTTCACGAACTTTTATCTAAATATTAAAAGCTGCGCGAAAAAGTGTTTGCCCGTTAGAACTAAATTTTAGCAAAGCAAGTGTTAGAGATAGGAGAAACAACGATACCTTGGTAACCTTTTGTAGTAAAAAAATCAGTAATAAATGACATACGCGCTTGTCAACTATCAGTTAACAAACCTATTAAGCCGACAAGCCGATAAAAGCACAACAAAAAGAAATTCGGATCGAGTCGTTAGCGTCCCGTCACTTAGCCCACGGTTAATCGCATCAAAACGATATCTCTCATCTCTTTGTTGAGTCACTTCCAATGATATATAAACTTTAAAGCAATCAAAATAGAGTTCAAAATGTAACTAAATTATGAACCCCTCCATTAGTGCTATCATTTCGCAAATTTAACATTGTCAAGGGAAATTAGCTCTTATTGCATTTGAATAAGAAGTTAGTAATATACCAAATAGGGATACGTTCGTCCCCTTTAGCCAATTAATGTAATTTAATTGCACAGAGAGATCAGCGTTGGTTTTAATTAAAAATATAATGGCAGTTACTCTGTGAATTTTAGTGGTGTGCTACTAGTGTTATAACCCCGATTTGAATTACATGACATATGAAAATAAAGATAATATTGATTATAATTTCAAAAGCGAAAGATACGACTCATATTTAGTAAATCAAGTAATATTCTAAATCTATATTTAGTCATTTAAATGTGTGTTATTCATTTAGATAGGATGGTATTCTTTAAAAAAGCGCGATTCGCCACCATCAGAATCCATCTCCAGCAAGGGAGAAAAGTGGATTTTGGAAGTTTGTTTCACCATGCCAAATGGAGGTCCGCGATCTCTGCTTACCCCTCTCGGTTACTTGAGTGAGTTGAATCTTAAAAAGATTATTTGTGAACTAAAACAGGCTTAGATGGGCCGGCCACGGGGAGCGGATGGATGAAACCAGAGTCTCTAAGAGTGTTATTGCGAGTAATGCCGAAGGTCGTCGAAGTCGGGGAGACCAAAGCTCCTATGGATAGACGGCGTAAATAGGGACACAAAAAAGTGGGCATAGCAAATTGGAAGTCCGTGGCCAGAGATAGACCAAGGTGGAGGACCAAGCCAGGGCCCACAAAGGGCTGTAGAGCTAGAAGAAGAAGAAAACAGAAATGCTTGATGATGATAAAAAGCGTGATGCTTAAATTAATAAAATAGGCAAAAAATATCTATGTTTTATTGATTAAAAAAAATATCAACGTTAATTAAACGTTGAGTGGAAAAGAAAATCATATTTTTTATAATAAATGTTAAAAAGCTTGGCGACGACAATCACGAAGTTGGGGGATGTTCTATTAAATTATTATACAGAGAATTTAATTAAGATCAAAGACGAGATCTGTTTAAAATATAAATTGCGCACGGGAAAAAAGCCGCTGCAATCCCGGGCCGCAATAAAATTTCTGATACGACCTTCTGCGACGCTCTCGAGAGGCCCTCGTAAGAAAACGGCTTAACTGAAATTTATACCGAAATAATACGCAAAAGGGACGCTCCTTTTTAAATAATGACTTTCATATTCCCGAGTGGCGAGGACAATTTAGCGCAGATGAAAGATATTTTTTTTATTAAAAACTTGGAGGTTATAATAGTAAGTAGGGGGTAGGGGGCGCGGACGTTGCTCTGCTCCGAATGAGCTTTTAGTTAGCAAATTTTTTGCCGTATACAGAGTGTTTAAATTTTCAATTAAATACTTTAATTTATAAGCTTTCTTATAGGATTAACAGCGGTAACAAATACTTTGTCGCATGCAATAGGTCGAATTGTCACATACCTAACAACTATTATATCATCATCATCATCATCATCAGCTCACTATATGTCTCCACCGAGGGGATCGGAGCCTACCCTAAGTTAAAGATGACTATTATATATCAAACGATAAACAATACATAATGGTATAATTGCTCATGCTTGTTTTATTTCAATGTGAAGTTAAAAAAAATCTCTAGAATATTTAGGAATTAAGTAATTTATATTTTCTTTCAAGTTTCCGGACTTTCAGTGAACCAAACATTTTGAATCTGTATGTTAGGTATTCTTTTTTTGGATTCTTTTCTACATGAAGTCTTGACTACATGATGATCTTTTACAATTGATTTGAACTCGAATTATTAATTTAAAAATGTTGCTTTTGTCAACGATCTTTTAACATCCTATATCAAGCAAAGCGACAAAGTAATAAAACGTGCGTTGCTTTCCCGCTTACAGTAGAATCGTAAAAAATATTTCTCGCCTTAACATTCCACAATTGCTACTTAGTTTTATTCTAAACGTACATCCACTAGATGTCGCCCGCGACTCTGTCCGCGAAAAAATTAAAAAAAAACTTAAGTACTATGTGTTATTAAGTTATTAAGATCCATGCAGCAGTTCTGGAAATACCTTTAAACTAACATCCATCCATCCATCATTCTAAACATTCGCATTAATTCGCATAATATTAGTATTAAGTTAGATTTACTACAGTACCAGATATGTAATATTGAAATAAGTATAATTTATAAGTCTGTCTGTATGCTGGTCCACAAATCTGCGTTTGTTCCCAGTTACCACCGAAAAGGGGTCGACGGATTTTGAGGGAACTTTGACGGAAAGATAGCTAATGCATGCTAACATATTTTACAGTGCCGATAAAGTTCCTTACAATATCTAGTATAAAAATATATATATTTTTTTATATCATAAGGTGGCAAACGTGAGCGGCCACCTGAAATCGCTGAAATAGCAAAGTGACTGTTGCCCATAGACATACGCAGTTGCATATGCGTTGCCTACATTTAATCGTTGTAGACGAAAATGCACAGAAAGAAAATATTTTCCTTTCCCATGCATTATCTCACTTGGAATGTCCACTTCCACTTCCCATCGTATCCTTATAAGAAAAAGGTTGGGAGGGGACAGAGGACTAAATTAGGCCTCCGGGACGCACATTCATCAGACGAAACGCAGAATTTCTTCCACTTCACGCCTATCTTCTGTATGGTCGTGGTATTTCACCGGGCAAGCCGGGTCAATTCGTGCGAAGATGTTAAAGCGGGCTCTACCACTGTTAAAATATTTTCATACTTTATAGTTCTATTAAAATGTTTTTTTATAACTGTAAAGAGTTTTAACTAGACAAAGAGAGAGTTCACTATCGTTTTGTCGTACAGGCACAAAACAAACTACACCTTGTTAGTCGCTGGCCTTGTTAAAGTCGAAAACAAACAGTTACCTAAAACAACTGAACGTCGGGCTTCCATTTGAGACCATTAGAGTCACCAGTTTAACAAGAACTGTATGTTATTTACTTATCTATTATGGCGATTGATGCTTTATAATATGTCTGTTATAGTACTAATATTATAAATTATAAATGCGAATGTTTAGATAGATGGATGGAAGGTTTAAAGGTATCTCTCCAGAATGGCTAAACGGTTCTCGATGAAATTTGGTATACACATGGAACATAGTCTGGAAGAACACATAGGCCACTAATAATGTTTTTTTTATTCCGCGCGAAAGGATTCGCGAGTGACAGTTTGTCTGCTTATAAAAAAAGAATTGGGCATAGGAATTGGGGCTTTATGTTAAAAAAACATGAAAAAAAGGTTTCAAGCTAGAATGTTCTTTTAACTCTACAATCTTACTAGCTGTCGCCGCGACTCCATCAGTGGGTTAAAAAAACTTCATTACTAGTCTATATGTTTCTTCAGGCTACGCTATCCATCTATGCCAAATTTCAGCGAGATCTATAAAGCCATTCTGGAGATACCTTCAAACAAACTTCCATCCGTCTTATAAGTGTAAGATTTGTAGCTGGCTATTTTAAGTCAAGGGAAAATGTAATTTACAATTAAACTGTCATATCATAAATCTACTATGTCTTAAAGTATATACGATCATTATGTATGA